CATAGATAAGATTCCTGGCTTTTGTCCTCTCTGCTTACGTGCCTGCTTCATCTTTAGGTTATGGCAGCTTCAGCCTAGTCTCACACAACCATGATATGTACAAAAGGCAATTTCATTATTAGGATGGCTATAGCAGTCTTTATATTACAATGTTAAAGTTATATACTGTTGTGGAAGTATTTATACAATGTATTCAGTTAAAATTAAGTGTATGTGTGTGTGTGAGAGAGGTAACCTTTTTGAAATATACATTTCTATTTCAAAACTTGAAACATTAGTTTAACTGCCCCAATCCATTTTTTAAAAGGTGGTACTACAAGAAAATAAAACTCTGTAATGCCCTAACCCCAAGATAGATATAACCATTACTTGACACAAAAAGTCATCTTCACTACCTTTTGGAGTAAGGTGGAGGGGAAGAAAATCCAGATCAGGTTCTTAACTAGCAGGATTCAATATTTTGAAGTTTCTTTAATCACTTTATATTTGCTTTATGAGTTTGGTAACAGCCGTATCCATAACTACTGATAACTTTTGCCCCTAAATAATTAAGTACAGCACATTTACCATTTAACCCAGTAATATCAGTCTTGCCTTTTTTGTTGAATTACTGGAGCCATTATTCAGGTATTTTCTTTTAAGTACAGATTAAATGCAATGTTCCATGTTCTTATTTTGAATGATAAATAATAAGGTTTGATAGTATTTAAAATGCATCAGACTTGACATCAGCATTTTCTTGATTTATTAGAAAATTACCTGATTGATTAATTAGATTTATATAGCAGCCCATCTCACATATATGACTAATATTAGGATCTTTTTTTTTTAATTAAAAAAAAAGTTTTGGATTTGCTGTGCTTTTCTTGACTTGTCCGTGTTGCTCGGTTTCATAAGCCCATGGAAAAACCTGCATCAAATGTGCATTGGCATTCAAACTTCCTTTCCTCTGAGCAGGAACAGTCTTATTTTCCTAAAACAGATTATGGCTAGGCTCATACATTGCACTAACTTGTGCTTTGCATAACCATAGTTTATTGGATAAAACACAACCTCTAGACTTCACAACAACCTGAGAGTTTGAATCATGATTTACAAACCATCATAGCTGGATTAATGCACAACACCTGAAGTCATCAACAAACATTCCTTATTTTCTAAGAGTGTGATGTGTGAAACCAATTTATATGCAATCATTTCAGCATCTGACATAAATAGTATACATTTCTCTTCCATGTAAATCTAAAGTTTTTCTTGACCAGGGTAAGAAAAGAGAAAGGCAGCATAGCTATCTTCACACTTGCTGAAATACATGTTGGTGTCTTTCTAGCTTGGCTAGAGTAAAGAGGCCCTGAGGGTGGGAGCAGATTTTGGGCTAATTTCACACAACACTGAACTGCAAGCTAGCCAATTGTTTTAGCCTAATGTGTTGTGTATATGCAGCCCAGGAGGTTAATGCATTGTGTTACGTGAACCTAGACCTGGGGGGTCTGTGATTGGGGTGGCATACAAATTCTGTGAAAGAAACAAGCAAACTATGGCTAAGCATGATTAAAGAGTTCAATTTTTTTTGCCTATTATGGCTGTGATTGACAATGTCAGTTTTCCAGCACACATCTCATGCCATTAAACATAACTGCAATTGGAAGATCCTTCTAGTAAGGAATTCCACATCGCAATGTCCGCAAGCCAGAAAATGAGTTCAACAGCTGAATCTTTGCAGATGCAAGCCATTAAATTCCCCCTGGGGGGTGAGGGGGGAGAAAATAACATTTCCTCCCCTAAGGAACCCAAACATTTATATTAAACAGTTATGATTAAATTGGGAGTCTACTTTGTTAACTAAAGAAAAAATATAGAATGAAAACGAAAGCAAACGGAAAAGCAGTATTATAGTCGACGAACACTGCGTGGAGCGTGACAATTCTGCAAGGCTTAAACTGCAATCTTCTGCATGCTTACACAGAGGTAAAGGCTCTAGTAAGCATGGTGACCTCCAGGTGAGAACGCAGAGTCATCCGGCAGGCCCTTATGCTGTGTTATCCAGCCGTTCAACCGGACTCCCGGGTTCAGCGCCCTCCGATCCGATATACGTTTACTCAAAAGTAAAAGCCGGCTCGTGCAGCGCCGCCGTGTTCTCTCCCCCCGTTAAGTGCGCTCAGGATGGCAACTGCCGCGCGCCACGCCGCCCTCCTGCGGGCGCGTCGCTAGCAGCAGCTTGGCCGAGGCCGGACCGAAAGCGCTGATTGGCGCCCAGCTGAGCCCAATGGGGCTTCGGCGGCCGATAAAAGCTCCCCTAAAGCAGCGCCGCGACGTTGTCTTTTGTGGGTGGTGGTTTTTTGTTTCTTTTTTTTAAGACTTCGTTCTTGTTCGCCTTGTCCTTCTAGACAGCCGCTGGCTCGGCGCGTTTTTCTCCCCAGTCATGGAGCTTTTCCCGCTCCACGCTGTTCTCCTGTTTTTGGCTGCGTTGGGTGGCTGGGGTCGCTTGTCGCCCAGCGGAGGTGAGAGCGGTCTCTCTGTGGTTCCCCTGTTCTGGTGGAGAGCGTGTCCTAGGATGGGGGGGGGGTCTTGCCGTAGCTTGGTTCAACTATGAAGATCCAGAGAAACGATGGGCTTTTTTTCCTACGCGTGTATTGATAAAACAGTAAAGGGGTAGGCTCGCTCGTCTTAATTTTATTTGAATCAGGTGAAATTGATGGAGTTTCACTAGTTTCCTCTTCCAGCCTAAGGGACAAGGGACCTCCTACTGATAAAATTGTGGTCTTTCCTTTTTATCTATCCTGGAAGGGTAAAGAAGCAGGAGAATCTACTAGCCGGGGGTAGTGGTTAATCTGGCCTGGACAGAAGATCAGCCATCACCATGACCAAAGTAGAGGAAAGGGTTGAAATCCTGGAAGAGGTTTTTTGAGCCTGCTTAATTTCCAGCCAGTATTCACATAGGAGTCAAGGAGCTTAAGTCAGTAGTGCAGAAAAGCTCTCAATTTGGTCTTAAAATAAAATAATTGGGAGTAAGCTTCACTTGCCTAGGGTTCAGTTGATATTCACGTGATTGTGCTATGCTATGGTGGCTATGTTAGGTTCAGGGTTATTTGTCATGGTCAAAGGATCTTTGACATGTTCAGCTTACATGAATGTGTCCACGTAGTTTCCTTGGAAACTGCATAATATTGTTTGCTATTGCCTTCTCAGAGCTGTTAGGCCTTTTCAGTCTAGCCTATAGTTCTTGGATATCAGTGGTTGGGAAAGTAAACTGGGTGGGTGATCTTGACTGTTTTGGAGCTCCTTTCTGGAAATTTTGGAGGACTCTGGCTCAGAGAGCCCTGCTTGTTGCACCCATCCCTACTTTTTTAGCTTTGGGGAAGGATGTTGAAAAGGGCCACCTTCTAACTTAGTTGTTTAAATTGATGTTGCAATATTTAGTGTTGGTTTCTAATGGGTATTGCTATTTAGATCATTTTTCAGTGCCTACTGCATTGGTGGTTTTTAGAAAAACAGCTGTGCAGAGATCTGAATTCAAAGGGCAAAATGTGATTTGGAGAGTGATGGGCATCCATGTGTTATACCTGTTAAGATTACCTTAAATCAGAAGCCTCTTTTTGCATGGAAGGCAGTTGTGACCCCAGGAAAAGCAGAGGTGCTTTAAGATGTGCCAGATGTGCGTTTCAAATTGCATTACACCAAAATAGCGGCACAGAAACATTTGGAATTGGTCTTCCCCAAGTTATGGTACCTCTTCATCCAGGTCTGTTGGGGCAGTTACTCTCATAAGTCAAATTGCTACTATAATTTTTGGTAATTTAAGAAAAAATGGATTGCTACTGTGGAAGTGGTGATTCTCTGGATTTAATTGACTTTAGTTTGGATTCGTAAACATTCTTCTTAAGATTTCAGCTATGAGTACATGATTATGTGGTCTGTGCAGACTGTTTTTGACTGTGTACTTTTGTTCTAGATGGAAGACCTTGTAGTGCCAGCCTGCAAGCTGGTTGCAGAGATAAATGCATTCCTTTCTCATGGCTCTGTAATGGAGAACAAGAATGTCCCGATGGTTCAGATGAGCATTGCGGTAAGTTCTTCAGAGCTACTCCATGCAGTTGAGGGCTGTTGTCCCTCTTTAAAATGTGAAGTGGGATGCAAATTCTTCTAAGAAACAAACATTTGGGCACTGACTTGAAATATCCCAGATTTGGGGGGAGGGGGCAGTCTTTTGCTTCTGGTGAGAACACTGGGATTTTTGGCAGCATGTTATTCATTCTCATAAAATAGTTGCAGAAGCATTGGCAGTGACTGGTTATAAAACATACTTTTTGGAGGGGGGGAAACAAGCATCATTTTTTGCACATACTACATCAAGCAAAACACTGGGCTGCAGCTGCTCACTTTTATTTTCTAAAAGTCCCTGTGGGCCCCCAAAGCCTTCTGGAATACGGTCCGAAGAGGAGGGTAGGGTTTGGTGTTTGGCTTTGTTGCATGTCTGTTTCCCTGCTGGGGCAGAGAAGCCAGGAAGCCCCAAAGAAAGTCTACACAAGCACAAAACTGCGTAGCCCTGGCTTGCTATTACTTGCAATTATTTACTTTCTCAGGTAAGGAACAATATTAGAGTTAAGGCCAGCATTTTCTATGCTGCTTAGTGTTATTTTATTATATATACAAGTTGAAAAAGTGAAGCAGACACTATGCTAGCCTCTTAAGCATCTTTAACTGCTTTTAGTTTGAACAGCATGTTTTTTCAACATGTGCCATGTCTACTGCTTCATGCCAGCCTATGCCCAAACTTGCTAGTTTTATTTAGCTAAGTTTGCACCTCCCCAAAGCATCTATTTTTGGCTTCAGTCTGTAAAATGCAACAGCCCATATTTTTAAGATATTCTATATAATTACAGACAAAGGCTAAACTAATAAGAGTTTATAAATGTATAATTATTATACATGTGTGTTGGGGAAGGAGGAAACTGAACCAGATCATAATTGAAAGAGAAAAGGAAAAGATACTCAACCATTCTTCTATTCTAAATCTTCTCTCCCCTGTCCCCTCAAAAGTGGAAAGCTAGAATTGATCACTATCTGATCTTGAGAAATCCTGAATGTTAATAGAATTTATTGATGGCAAAGAATCTCATTTCAGAGAGCCATGCATCCCTGGTACAAAGAAATTCTAAGTCTAATGTTCCAAAGAAATTCTGGATCAAATTAATATGTGTTGCCTTTGAAATATTTTGGATTTTACTTGCCGTCAGCTGTAACTAGCATGGCACTGGTGAAAGACTCTGGAAATATAGTCCAAAATCTCTGGAGTACACCAGATTGTCTACCTCTTGTCTAGGAATTTCAAACTCTAGTACAATGCCATAATCTCCATAGACCTTTGCCCTTTTATCTAATATGGCAGATCAAAACAAGGCAAGCAAAGTTAATAGCTTAACATAGAGTCCTCCAGATGTTCTGGACTATAAATTCAACATATCAGACCAGCATGACTAATAGCAACTAATTGGAAGTTATCCAAACCATTTGGAACTGCTTAATTTGGTATTTTGCCTTGTCACTAATTGTCAAAAAGCTGAAGCTGAGTTCACAAAGCAAGGAGCTGAGTAGTTTTTTAATGTTAGTGGTCTTTGCCCTGCTGTGACTTTTGCAACCCTCAATGTAATCCAGAAAAAAATCCGGTTTTGGTAAGACTTAGAAACAAAGAATGAGGAATGAAGACCATTATGTGAATGTCTGGCTGAAGTTGGTATAACTCTATCCCTAAAAATACAGTGATGGCTGAGCTAATGACCTCTTAACTAGGTTAATTCATATAGGCTGTTTGTGAAATGAGAAGAAAAAAAAATCATGGACTCATTAATGTTCACAAAGCACCAGTAAGTTATTATTTTCTTCAAACATATCAGCTTGGATAGTCGAAGCTTATGAGAGAGTAATCAGGGTGGCTTTGATGTGTATTGAATGGGAATGCTCATTTCCTAGACAGCGTTGCTGTTAGTTGCACTTACTGGAGTTGAGAATTATGGTCCAGCTCATCCAAGGTAACCAGATTAGGGAGGGTTGGCATGAATCCTTTGACACTTGACCTTTCCAGCTTGCCTGTAGCAGGAGCTGTTAGATGGGCAGTCAGCCAGGAACAGAGTGCCACCTCATGCACGTGTGCCGTAGCTTGCCTTATGGAAAGATTGATTACTATAAGTTCTCAATATATGATATTGAGAACTTATAGTAATCCCATGGAGGACCTACCTTTGTTCACTGGCATCTTTAGGAGCAGTTTAGTGAATTGTATTTGTGGTGAGGGCTGTTTCTGCCATAGAGTCTACCTAATCTTGAGCTCTTGATTGAGGCGTACCTACTGTGGTTACTGCTTCATAACGCAATTTACTAGTTTAATACAATCATCTTGGGCAGCTGTTTTATAGATTATGGTAATTAATTGTAATCCCAGAACTCTAATGCTGGGAAAGAGCATCTAATTGGGAATTCTGAATGGTGTTGTCCAAGTTCACCAGGAGAACTATAGAGCAGTTCTTAAAGATGAGTTTAAGTGAAACTATTCAGCCTGCTTTTGATCCTCCTTTATAGTGGAAGAATGTGGTGGTGATCCATATGCCTGGCAGTGTGAAGATGGAGCATGTATTGCTGCTAGGTGGCGTTGCGATGGAACCAGTGATTGCCTGGATGGCTCAGATGAAGAGAATTGTGGTATGTTTAACATGTAAAGTCCCAAACAGACCATCTTCATGATGCAGCTATTCAAAAAGAAGCTGACAGATAATAATAGGGAATAATTTAGAAAAAGGCAGGTAGCTGTACACAGTAATAAAGCATGTGTAGAGAAAAGAATACAATTTGGAGAATTAGGTTAGTAAAAAACAACAACTCTGCAGGCAGATATTTGTGTGAAAGAAAAGATCATCTTTATTCTGGGAATTTCTTTGATAGATTAGACAACGTTGGCTTTTTGTATCTGCAGCTTAGAAACTGTATGGTATTCCCTCTATTGCTGAAGAGATAGAGCAGAAAGAAAATTAGGTGGAAGAGTACTAGGAAATGAAAGCAATGACAGGCCTGAAAACATCAGTCTGCCCAATGACATTATATAGAGACAAGAAAATTCAGAGGAATTTTCCAAGGAATATGCCAAGGAAAAGTGATCGAAGTGCAGAGTCCCAACAGTGGCCACCATGTCTGTTGCCCATTGTGGGCTTAATGCATTCAGTATTAAATCTTACAAAGCTTGGATTCCTGAGTACAAACCCTGAAAAGAAAGGTCTCAATCAGCAATGGGCAATTTCTCATTGGCCAAAAAATGTACTGGGGGTGAAGGAAGGATAGACTGCAGTGTGCAGGATGATGACACAGTGATGTCATCAAAGGAAGGTACAGTTGTTTCTTGGAGGCAATTAGGGCATTAGTCATCTAAGCAATGACTTAAGTTTGTTTCATTTTTTTCTTCCCCCCTTGAAAACTGTCTATTTCTATTCTGAATCTTGGCTACTCAGGTCCATCACATCTTTTTGTTGTTAATCTTGGGTTTAACCTGGATGGCTGCTGGGGAAATTGTTTTGGAAGGACTTCTCTTTTCTAGGAACTGAAGTAGGCTGCTGAAGGACATACCTCCATGCCCCTGTTGGCTACTTCTGTGCTAACTAACATTTAGAACCTTGGACCAAAAGTCCAGCATTGTGACTCTCTTGTGAAGAAAACTAAAAACTAGCTTGCCTTTTCTCTTTAGCTTTTCTGATTGCCACTTCTTAAACAACTTGAAGTATATTCTGTTCAGGAAGGTGAGAGTAAATGACATTTTAGGGAGATGAGTTGCAATGGGGATTTTGGCCTGTAAGGGCTGAAGGTGCATTATTAGCCTCTGTAGCCTGGTATCCTTTAGGTATGTTGGTTAAGCTCGTTAGGGATTATGAGAACTGAGGTCCAATATATCTCAAAGAAAAAAGAGTGTGAAAAATGTCTTAAGATTGGGAAAGAAAATCCCTTAGCAAGAAAACAGACTTGTCCCTAATGATTAGTCCCATAGTCTTGTACATGGACATAGAAGACCTCTTTGTTTCTTTTTTTGAAGATATGGAACAATTTTATATAATAAGAATAAAGTCATCTAGCCCAGTTTTTTCAAGGATTTGGGGGGCAAAGATCTTTGCTCTACTTCCTACTAGTGGTCCTTAATTAAAAAATATTAAGAACTAGCTATAGAGTCCTATGCACACAAAGTGCAATGCTTGAGTTTTCCATGCAGTTCCAAAACTCCATTTGCTGTTTTGGACAAGCAAAAGGAACTTTCCTCACCTCTTTTGAAAAAAAAAGGTAGAACTCTCTAATGTAGCCATTCCAAAGTTTGTCTCCTAGTAGACAGAAATCAGGCATACCAGTAACAGAATGAGGAGAGAATTTTTTTAAAAAAATCTATAAAAAAAAGAATGAGGAGAGGAAAAAATAGTCTTTTCTGATGTTACAATTTTAATGTAGTATGTCCAGACAAAATTCCATGCCAGAGCAACAATCAGTGCATTGATCCGTGGGAAGTATGTGATAATCATGAGGACTGCAAAGATGGCTCAGATGAAGCCAACTGCTCGCCCAATAAATGCTTAGCTGGACAGTGGCAGTGTAAGAACAAAGTGTGTATTATGGAAGACTGGAAGTGCAATGGCATTGACAACTGTGGGGATCACTCGGATGAAGACATCTGTGGTAAGCAACTTGGTCTACTCTTGGATGTATACAAATCCAGCTAGTTCACAGTAGCAGAGTGCATATCCAATATGATCCCTATAGAGTGACAGACCACAAGAGAGATGTAAACAACCTATTACAAATAATATTAACTACACAGTCATAACAACGAATAGTAAAGCAGTGATCTAAAGTATAAATCCCAAACAAGATAAGACAGCATTTCACAGTAAAAATAACCTTAAATTTCTTTTGTTCCCATTATTGCTAATGCCCTCACTTTGTAAGCAAAACACTCTGTCATTTTGCTGAGGTGAATTTTATGAACTTTAGTGTTGAATATTCTTCTGCAGTAATAAACGCACAGGTTTAATTGTTGTCCTATATCCTTAGGCCTGGGAAGCTGAAGTTGAACTCCTTTCTCTTCTTTCCTCATGGTGGGACAGGCCATTATGGATGTGTTTTGCTGCTTTTAATCTAATAGAAGTAGTTTTTATTTGATTGTGTAGTGGATGAACTCAGTTACAGTGGGTGAACCATTGGAAGACTTGAAAGACCAGGTTAGGGACGGATCCTCCTAGAGAAAATCTATGTGATGGCTAAGAGTCCATATTGACTTGATGGCACATAGTCAAGTCATGAGTACTATTGTTTACATCTCTCATTTGTTTGCCACTGTCTGATTGAATACCAGTTAGCCCCATATTAAAATGCCTCAAACAAGTTTACACATTTCCATGTGGTATAGACCACTGGGGTCTGAGGATTTCATATCTGATAGGTTGTTTGGTTCACCAAAAACAGCTGGACAGCAGTTTTTCAAAATTATCTGTAAAAATTGCAGGCAGCTTAATTTATGTACAGGTTTCAATGTTGCTAGAGGAGTTAGAAATGTACCATGATGTATTCTGTATAGCAGACCTAGTGGCTGATTTGGATTCCTGCTCTACAGGAAGATGAAATAACTCAGTTTAAGCAAGACACAGCATATTTTTTAAAAAATATGGTGTTTCTTTTTTGAAAAATAGTAGGCCTAAGACAATGTTTGCTATGAAAAAGCATCTGAAAAGTAACAAAGCATCTGAAAAGTAAC